TGTCCCAGTCACTGGACAGACCGAGGAGAATAAATTCAGTCACCCATGTCTGGTTATACGTGCCCATTTACAACGTGAGGATGAGTCACCTGCAGAGAGAGTGAGGAATAACAGAAGTTGTCGAATCAGGACCATGCAAAAGCATGCCGTGTGTTATAACCAGACTTCTTTCAGAAGCTCAGATCATCATGAGGCCCAGATGATGGGCTCATTCCAAAATGCTTCACACGTTCTCTGCTCCAGGGAGACAGGTCAGGGACTTTCTAAGGCCCTCATGGGGTCTCAAAGAGGCATAAGTAAATCCCACAGACAATGGAACAAAAATTTAGAGCACTGCCTATTCCCCAGCTTAGCTCAAATTCCAGAGAAAAGAGAAGAAGATGCACAACAAAGGCAGGTGAAACGGTCAGCCACGAAGAGGAGCGTAGCTGGAAAGGTAAAGAGCTACCTTAACCTTGCAAAGCAGACCCAATGGGATGAGCCCCACACACTCGGGACAATAGGTGAAAGGTGGGACAGCGGCTGGGGCCTCATGAAAAGACCTAGACTGGACAGTGGACGTTTTCCACTGATGCTCCATCTCGTCTGTGTGACTGGGTTGCCGTCGTTGTTAGGTGCCATGGCGTCAGCTCTGACCCAAAGTGACCCTGTGCACAACATAAGGAAACACTGCCTGGTCCCGTGCCACCCTCACAATCGTTCCTCCACCCGAGCCCATTGATGAGGCCACCGTGTCAGTCAATCCAGTCCATTGAAGGCCTTCCTCTTTCTCACCATCCCTCCCCTTTACCAAACATCATGTCCTTTTCAAGCGACTGGTTTCTCTAGACAATATGTCCAAGGTATATTAGATGCAGTCTTGCTGTCTGTGGCAATTACATAATCTGTTAACTTGAGAAGGTTGTAGCCAATGAGGCTTCTGTGTGGGCATGGCCTTCTCCTGAGGACTCTGGGAACTCCAGTCTTCTGGTCCTCCTCCCAGAGGCGAGATACATGCTCTCCCTGTGAGAGATTCCTGTTGACAAGCCACATGGAAGTACGCTGATGGAGCCACAGCCCTGGAGTTGGAGGAGCCATGTGAAGACCCACACCAGCTGTGAGATGTTTCCACCACCACTGGATCCACAAGACTTTCCACCCACTGATTTTCCAGTATCCAGCATGATGACATGTGTTGCGTGAGTCTGAAGAGAAATTTATAGACTGGTATCAGACATATGGGCTAATATCAGACTTATGGGCTAATATCAGACTTATGGGCTTGATCTGGACTGGGGTGGCATGTTTTCTTAATATGCAATTACTCTCAGATATAAAGCTCTCTCTTACATATATATGAGTTCTGGATTTGTTTTTGTAGACAACCCAGGTGGTGACAGAGTGCTCCTAAGGAGCACTCTGACCTTACTTCTTCCAATCCAGATCTGTTTGTCCTTTTAGTAGTCGATGGTACTTTCATTATTCTTCTCCAGCATGACAATTCAAATGCGTTGATGCTTCTTCAGTCTTCCTTATTCAATGTCCAACTTTCACATGCAGATGATGCAATGAAGAATACTATGGCTGGGGTCAGGCTCACCTTGTTGTCAAAGTAACATCCTTGCTCTTCATTACTCTAAAGAGGTCTTAGCAGCAGATTTCCCTAATGCAATACGTCTTGTGATCTCTTGACTGCTGCTTCCATGGGTATTGATGTGGATGTGCAAGACAAAATCCTCGACCACTTCAACCTTTTCTCCATGTATCATGATGCTGCCTATTGGTCCAGTTGTGAGGACTTTAGTCTCCTTCCACAGTGAGTTGTCATCCAGACTGAAGGCTACAATCCTTGAGCTTCACCAGCAAGTGCTTCCAGTCCTCCTCACTTTTAGCAAGCAGGGTTGTGTCATTTGTGTATTGCTGGTTGTTAATAAGCCTTCCTCCAGTCCTGGTAGCAGTACTATGCTAATATAGATTATAGTAGTGACATGGCCTCTAAACTTCGACAAACAAACTAGCAAATGTGCTTTCTCCTTGGTCTCTTCCAAAATGAAGACATCGGGAATATTCAATGCCACTTTTAGTTTGAGTGCAGAGCATGGGGCGAAGCGCTCTCAGGGTCTGGCAGACGGTTAGTCTTCTTGGGTTCCTTCAGGCTTCAGTAGGACATTGTAGGGCACTGAACATTGTGTTTGTGTGTGAGAGTCTGTATATTACTTTTTCTGACTCACCATGCTAAGAAGCTACTCTCTGGCCACAGGTTCAAAGAAGCAGCCGTTGTGTGGATGTTTAGTTCTTCTCTCGTAGATACAAGAGAAAAAAGAAACCAAACGTCTCTGCACCCTCCTGCGTTGACCAAGGGGGGAGGAGACGAGCGTTCAGACAGAGTACATCGGATGGGACTTCCCTTTTGCTTTCTGTGACTAAGGGCTTTTCAGCAGAGCGCTGCACCATCACATCAATTTTGAACACTACACAGAAGAGTTTGCATTTAAAACACACATTGGAGGGCTTATTCTTATATGACTCTATGCCTGTCTATTGATTAACTTTCCTTTTTGGGGGCAGTGAACACACATGGGGGTACGTGGGAGATAAGGGGGGCGCTTGGGGAAGGGAGGAGAAATTGAGTTTCCTGGCTCACCCCAGATCCCACATAGAGACCAGGCTGGAGATTCTGAGCTGGAGAATGAAAGGCCATTCCATGCATGATTCCAACAGTGACTTGCCTTTCCTGTGGACACTTTCCTAGTGCCCACGTCTGTGCCGGACCCCCTTCTCATCAGTTCCCCGCTTTCTACCAGAGCATGGTAGCCCTACCACGCCCCCCTCACTTTCTCACTTTTAACTGAGATCCTCCTGAGAAAACATACTCTGGCCTCCAAGCAGAAGCTCAAATTCAAGCTCATATAAAGCCTTCATTAACCTTTGTTGAACAGACACCAGACATTAGACATTCTACTCCATTCCTAATGCAAGGTACAGGGGAAATTACTCAGTACAGAAGACATGTGCTTATTTGTGTTGACATTACTCATCCACAGTGAACAATTTCACATTTCTCCGCCTCATCCAAGGCTAACATCGGTCTGTCTCACAAACCGACAGTAACTTCCTACTGATTCAAGTCTCTTTTAAAACGACAGTCTCTGATAGGCATGGAGTACTCAGTAAGCAAAGCAAGCCTGTGACACCATTCACTTCTGACCAGGAAGCACAAGTAAGTCTGTGCTTAGTAATCTGCCTGTGTTCTGAGATTTCAAGATTGAATATTACTCTTTCCTGTGCTCAATAAGCTGGCCCATTTCAGAAGAGAAGACCCAGTGAACAACAGCAACAATAACAACAAACACACCCAAATCTAAGCCAACCCAAAAAACAAAAATAAGCCAAACTCACTGTCAGTGAGTTGATGATGACGTATAGCAGCCTTATAGGGCAGAGTAGAAGGGTCCCTCTGGGTTTCTGAGACTGTAAATCTGTACGGGAAGAGAAAGTCTCATCTCTCTCCTAAGGAGCACCCACTACACCACCCAGGGACAGATCCCTGCTGCACCATCTGCTCTTCTGCTGGACTGTGCAGGTCTCCTGAGAACATGCAAGGCCATGACTCCTGGGACCCTCTTAATCTCTTACCTACACACACACATCTCTCAGCCAGCCCATGTCTAGTACAAACAAGTGCCAATATCAGTCTCTTACCTACACACACACACACACACACACAC